CTATAATAATTCAGTAACTATTTTCATTTTGCCCATATGTCTTGGGTTTTATTATCTTGCTTTTTCTAGTCTATTTATTCTATTTCTTACAAGTTTCTTAGGCCCTAGGGTAATTTTGTTTATCTTTTTTCCAAAACCCAGAACTCTTTAGTGCATATGCTCTCAATAAAATTCAGTAACTAACAACTTTGTTTTCTAACTAAATGCTCTTAAACTGGGGCTTAGGAGAGGAATTTAGTAGATACTTGCAAAGTTTCCACAATATCCATACAGAGAAAGCCAGAACTATAGCTGGGGAAAAGTGTGTAACTAATCATTGCCTTTATTTTATTTATTTATTTTAATTAAAAATTTTTAATGTTGAAAGAATGACAGTTTTCAGGAAAATAAAAATAAAAGTAAACATCTGGGCTTATCACCTCATACTTAGAAGGGGTGCAGAAATGCTGGCATTCCCTTTGCTGGAGGGGGAAGCAGGAATATTTAAAATGAAGGAACTGGGGGCCTTTCCTTTGTCTTTTTTTCTCTTTCTCTCTTTCTTCCTTAAAAAAAAAAAAAAGTGTTATTAAGCACTTGGGCCAGACACCAAGTATACAAAGATAAATGAGATATAGCTCCTGTCCTCAAGGGCCTGACATTCTGGTGAGGAAGATAGATAACCAGGTAATTAGACTATGGTGGAACAACTACAATAATGGCGGTAATCTGAGGGTACACATAAAGAAACTAGCACCATGAATAATGCTGCAGTGAACATAGGGGTGCATATATCTTTGCAAATAAGTGCTTTTGAGTCTTTCAGGTAGATATCCAGAAGAGGGGTTGCTGGGTCATATGGTAACTCTATTCTTAATTTTTTGAGGAGCCTCCAGACTGTTTTCCATAGTGGCTGTGCCAGTTTACATCCCACCAGCAGCGAATGAGGACTCCCTTTTCTCCACAGCCTCTCTAACACTAGTTATTACCTATCTTGTTGGTAACAGCCACTCTAACAGGTGTGAGGTGGTATCTTATTGTGGCTTTGATTTGAATTTTCCTAACAGCTAGTGAAGTTGAGTATCTTTTCATAGATTTGTTGGTCCTTTGTATTTGTATGTCTTCATGGGAGAGGTGTCCATTTAGGTCCTCTGCCCAGTTTTTAATTGGATTGTTTATCTGGTGTTGAGTTGTATGAGTTCTTTATATATTTTGGTTATCAACCCTTTTGTCGGAGCTGTTTTTTGCAAATATCATCTCCCAATTGGTTGGTTGCCTTTTTGCCTTATTGTCAGTTGCTTTTGCTGGGCAGAAGCTTTTTAGTTTGATATAGTCCCATTCATTTATTTTTGCCTTTACCTCCCTTTGAGGTCAAGTTCATAAAATGTTCTCTACTCGGAAGGTTCAAAAGTTTAGTTCCTATGTTTTTATCCATGTAATTTATAGTTTCAGATCTTATATTTAGGCCTCTGATACATACTGAATTAATTTTTGTACATAGGGACAAGCTGTAACCTAGTTCCATCCTTTTGCAGTGGCTTCCCAGTTCCCCAGCACCGTTTATTAAGGCCTTTCTTTTCTCCATGTGTTTTTTGCTCCTTTGTCAAAAATTATTTGCTTCATATTTATGGTGGCCATGACATGGAGACAATCAAAGTGTCCTTCCATAGAAGCCTGGATAAAAAAGATATAGTACCTATATACTATAGAGTCCTACTCAGCTGTAAGAAAAGATGAAATACTGCCATTTGCGACGACATGGATAGACCTTGAGAATATTATGCTAAGAGAAATAAGTCAGACAGAAAAAGCTAATAGCTATATGATTTCACTCATATGTGGGATATAAACCTGAAACTCATAGACACAGACAACACTATGGGGGTTGCCAGAGGAAAGGGGGTGGGGAGTAGTAAAGGAAAAAGGGGGCCAAATATGTGGTGGCCCTATTAACCAATGTCACCCCAATAACTTTAGTAAAATTTAAAAAAGGAAATAGCAAAATTTGAATTTCTAAAACTTTTAGCTATGTTCGCAAAGTACACTGTTTTCCTTTTACTGATAATAACTATGAGTTAAAAATATTTCTTATATTTACTAATATTATCCTTGACTAAAAATAAAGTAATTAAAGTAGCATTCACCTCGGTTTTCAAAGAACAAGTGGATTACTGAGTAGAGTATACTTGTAAAATTTGCTAACAAGAAACTGTAACTGTTTTTAAAATATATTCTGCTTCATAGATTTTGTTTGTAAAGAGGTCCATATTATGCATTCAAAAAAGCGGGTATAAGGGGGATAAATGGTGATGGGAAAAAAATCCTTTCCTCCTTTTACTTATTGAAAAAGTCTGCTGAAAATTGTCTACCATGTTTCCAGAAAAGAGCACAAAAGATTTCTGATTGAGCTTTGTTCACAATGAATGAGGTGGGAGGTGACATGGACTGAAAGAGCTAATGACATGTAAGAGCTGGGATATGAGCTTCAAAGTTAGAAGATTCTAAAATTCAAGTCTCAGTTCTTCCTTTACTAACTCTCTTTCCTCCTTGAGACAATAGAGATAACAATCATGGTCTACTCAAATGTTCTCCAGTCTGGGTCCTTTGAAGGATATAAAACATCACAAATATATAATAATCTAGTGTAATTATTATTAGTGATGTAAATAGTTTTCTAGGAAAATGTTGACAATGATTTTTATGTAATTACCTTAGGAAATCTATTGGGTAGAGTTAAACACTAGAATGGAAAAACCTATAGGAAAAGGGGTAGAGTAATTAAAACTGTAGCTTAGTAAAAAAAAATTATAGGAAACCCTCCAATGATCCTAGGAATTCATTTTGTTACTAGATGATAGAGGGTCCTACTGCAATGACTTAATTTTTAAAGTAGTATCAATAAATGCCTTTGATATAATATATAGAAAAAAATGATTACTTAATGTAGTTTTTTGCTGTTCTTCATCTTAACCAAGAAGTACTTTCATTTGAAAATTACAAGTTTATTTTCTTCCAAGAAGGAAAAAAAATAACTTCTATTAATAGAGTTATTCTTTGCATATTGTCAAATGTATCACAAGGTTAATTGCTATGTATAATAATACAGAAACAAACAAAAAGGCAAGTTAGTTCATGTGTAAGCCTTAAACAACATTATAAGCCACTGTGACACTCTATTTTTATGTTAAAAAACCCTTTATGAAAATATTCTTTCCATTTTTGTTTTACAGTCCTTAAGGACAGAGAGGTATACGCAAGGCACTTTGATAACTGAAAAAAAGTGACTTAGAGAACAGTGTTAATCTGATCACAATTGTAAAAAGACAACTGTGATTGTATTCCTTTCAGGTATGTACATAACCTATTTCCAGAAGGGGGCTGGAAGGATGCCCACCAGCTGCTGAAGAGCACTTTCCTCCAGCAAAGGGAGTAAGTTTGTTTGCAGGGGTAGGGAATGGTGAATTTCACATTTTGCTCTTTGAATGTTAATGTTTTATTTGAATCTTTGAAACAAGTATCTATGTATTACTTGTGTTAAAAAAAATACAGAGGTGACCCACAGTAGGAGCCATTTATGCCTGCCCACGTCATCAATGCTGCCTCCTGACAGCAACTGGACTTGTGCTATAGCTACAAACGCTGTCTTCCAAACGCACATTAATCAAAATACAAATACCAGCTAAATGTTTTAGGAAGTATGTAACTGAATTCAGTGATGTTGGGAATATACCCCCTGTGTTTCCACAGAGGCTACAACAGGCACGCTTGAGTTCAAGTTCCCTGAAACGGCGCAATCTTTGGGTCGGTCACTTCTGATGGAGCAATGTGACCACGGGCAGGCGTGGTTTGTCTTACTGAGCTGTTCACCTGCACTAGAAATGATGCTCACCCTTTAATGCTCTTTTAAAAGTACTGTCTGACTTGTCCCTGAAAAACCGAAAGAAGAAAAAATACTCAGTTATTTACCCGGTAAGTCAAGGCCAGTGCTTTTTAAAGTTGGCTGAGCCCCTAACCTCTAATTGCCTTACCAATGCTCAGCCACAACAGAAGGCCTGTCAGCAGATTTTATTTACAGCCCTTGAGAAAGAAGCCTCTTGCTGTTTTCATTTCATACAAAAGATAAGTTTGCAAAAGGAAACATTTGGCAGTACTTCAGATGCTCACTGTCTGGTGGTGCTGATAATGTAATTTTTTTCTTGATTATGGCAGCTTCTATAAGGCTGTATCCTTTATGTCGACCATCTTGCCCCAACTGACTGTACTTATTGACTAAGCAGACATAATTCATGCAAGCACCTAAACTCTTTTTAACGTTTTCTCTTACTATAAGTTTAGAATCTGGCTATGAACTGATTTTATGCTGTATTCTATTGTTGAAAGATGTCATGCTCTCTACTTGGCTAACCTGCAAAATATCTTTTATTCAGATTGAAGGTCAGCTGGCCTGAATGAAGAACATTGGTAATAACAGGTAATTCACTAATATTTATCGCATATTTTAAAGGGGATGTCAAGGTGTTATACAGACAACTAGATTTAAATGAGTTTTTTCTTTTTACTAATAGAGTCAGGTTCACATACTCTACAATAGACTCCAAATGAAAATTCTGTTTGCAAAAGAGTGTTTATCTAAAATATCTCTCAAATAAAAATGTACCCAGGGCGATAAAGCATACAGTTTTTTACTTGGGTAGTTGGGAAAAATCAATGTGGCTTATCTCTCTAAATTGTGTTTTGAGCATATGAATGGCATCCCAGAAACAGTATGGCTCTCAAGCCACTGAAAAGTCTATCAAAATTGCTCAAAGCAACAATGAAAAGTTACCTGTGGAAATTGTTGCAAAATAAATATGCTGGCCCTTGTTTGGACTAACTCCCATGGGTGACGCATTACCTTCCGTAACACAGCTGAGCAGTATAATCAATATATGGTCTAAAATGATCCACTTTAGAAACAGGCTCCACCAATGGCCTGCTCACAAAAGAAACGGAGGAGGGCATGAAACAGAAACGCATTTACTCACTGTGTTAAAATTTGGAAAGAGTCCCACAGCAGAGCTGCTGTCCACTGGGAACGACATAAACGGCTTGACGTCCAGCGGAGGCTGCATCATCAGCGCAGGCGTGCGCACCAGGGCAGGCAGGGCAGCCGTGTGGCAGGTACTGCCTGCCAAGAGCGAAACAAAATTAACTCAGTCTCTTGCTCACGTCATCTCCTTCCCCAACCTGTGATGCAAAAGCAAGACTGCTGAGCTGCAACCTGCAAGCCAGAGAGCTCCTCAGGAAGGAAGCAAGTGGCCCAGGAGGAGACAGTCCAGTTCAAATTGGTCGTCTCGCTCACTGTCTAGGACAGTGGTGCAGAAGCTTCCCTCCGGCAGGGCCAAGCTGCTCCGTGTCCGCTGGGCTACACGGCGCCCCGACCCTGCTGGCGGAGGGCTGGGCTACACGGCACCCTGACCCTGCTGGCCGAGGGCTGGGCTACACGGCACCCCGACCCTGCTCCTCCTGTGGTCTATCCATTGCCCCGGCCTAGCCAGAAGTGTCGCAGAAGCGGGCCGGAGCCTCTGAAGCCAGATGCTCTTTACTGTCCAGTTACTGGATGACCAGGAGGCAAATCGGAGATAATTACAGGGTCTATCACAAGGGGAAGGCATCGTGGGCTCTTAGAGTTACCGTCTGCTCCCAAGAAAGTTATGACAGAAATAATTTGTTCTCTAAAAATACAAACTGAAAGTTGGCCTTTACTATGTGGGAAATGGGTGGTTGAGACAGACAGTGAATCTTAAAAGGCTTATTGCAACCTGGGTCGGTGCAGGGTCCTGGGGGACAAGGAGGAGTGGGGACAGGAACTCAAAACTTTATCTTCGACCTTTATTTCTAATGAGCCTTGTATTATTTTAGCAACTATCCCTTTTAATAATTATATTAGCTGTCATCTCTTTAGATATCTGGCCTAGGCCATGAGTAGGAGATTTAAAGCTCTTTTCTCCAGGAGCCAGCATTCTTCTTTAGCCTGTGGCCTCCACATAGCAGGCAAGTAACAACCGCTGGTGAGGGTGGCGCTCTGGGAGACAGGCTCTGCCATGCCCCCCTTTTAAATATAACAGTTTTATTGAGATATAATTCACATACCAGACAATTCAACCACTTAAAGTGTACAATTCAATGGTTTTTAGCATAGTCACAGAATTGTGCAACTATCACCACAATTTTAGAACATTTCACAATCCCTAAAAGAAACTCCATAGCCATGAGCAGTCTCTCCTCATTTCCTCCCTGTAACTTCCCCAGTTCCTGGGCATCCACTAGTCTACTTTCTGTCTCTAGAGATTTGTCTATTCTGGGCATTAGATTTAAATGACATTATACAATATGAAGTCTTGTGTGACTGTCTTCTTTTACTTGGCATAATGTGTTCAAAGTTCTTCCATGTTGTCACATGCATCAGAATTCCATCCCTTTTTAAGGCTGACTAATATTCCACTGTAGACGTACCACTTTTTGCTTACTTATCCATAAGTTGATGGGCATTTGGAGTTGGGTTGTTTCCACTTCTTGGCTATTATTGATAATGTTGCTATGAACACTTGTTTCTAAGTTTTCATATGTACATATGTTTTTACTTCTCTAGGTATATAACTAAGAGTGGAATTGGGGATTGTTAAATCACGTGGTAATAATATGATTTAACCTTTTGAGAGCTTCCAGACTGTTTTCCAAAACCGCTGAACTATTTCACATTACCACCAGCAGTGTATGAGGATCCCAATTTCTCCTGGCATGCCTACATAGCACCACAAATTATTATATGCATATAATCCCCTTCTGACTTCAAGGAGAAATAAACAGTATGGGAAAATGCTCCTAACTATTAAAATTTCCACCATTTTCCTTATACAGTGTCCCAGAATAATAAAAATACCTATTTCAATGATATTTTTGGTAATGAATTTCATCAGTGAACTCTGCATCATATTTTAAATCATTCCAGAACATTATTGGCAATGGTGTTTAATACACTGTCATACCTTATTTACACTGATCCTAAAAACAGAAAAAAGGAGAAAGGCATCTGAAGCACTTATCTGTTATGCCAAGTCTTCAGGTCAGTCCCATCCTTTAGAAAATATAGAGTAAAATCAGCAAAAAGAGAATAGCCAAAAGTATAGATCAAACAGCAATGGTTGTTTTCTGATGCCAAAGTAAGTACTCTGATCTCAGCCTGGCATTCACATAAGCACCCTGTATTTAATTATACCTCTTCTTCTAAGTAGGTAACATTACATTCATTGCTAACTTCAGAGCTGGTAGATCCAAGATGATGTATTATATCAATATGTCAAATGTTGCAGAGTCACTTATTAAAATATTTATTTTAAAAGCTTTGCTGTGAAATCTTAGCTAAGTTGAAAAACAGATTTATTATATTAGATCAACAGCCTTTTACAATTTACAATTGTTATAATTGTTAAAAGTCTAAAGTAAAACATTTTACAGAATCATTCTATTTAAAGCTGCCTGATGAACAAATGTATAATTATTTTGCCACGGTGGCTCCCCCAAAGAAAAGAAAATGCTAAACCCACGATGGTCGCTCTGATAACAACTAGGTAATACATGGCCCCCCAGAGCCTGGCAAGAGTCACTTTGTACTAACAAACTTAAATCAAACAGAATGAAACATGGAACTTGACAAACAGATTGCTCCATCAATAAAGGTCAGAATGCACAACGATCCCCTTACCCAATCAAATCTCTATGCTAATAAAGACAAGGCCTGAGAGTTACTAAACTGCCACCATTCATTAGCATAAAAAACTTAGCAGCTGCTTACCATTTCATTAGCATTTTAATGACAGACAATTTGCCATGTTAAACACAGATTGTTTTAAAGTACTTCTGAATAAATATAAACTAGGCTTTCATCAATTCCCTCACCTCAACCTTGCTGTTTTCACTTTTAAAACCTGCTTTTTAATATTGCTTCACCAAGGTTGATTGCTTCAAAGGAAGTTTTAGCAAATGGGAAATGAATGGGAATAAAGTGCTTTTTTTTTTTTTGCACAGTTTTTGAACCCTCTGTCACCTTATTCCAGATTTTGCTGCTGCAGCTACTGCTGAGAAGCATTTCTCTTCTCCTCGGGATACCCAAAAGTCATTGGGAAATACAAGCAGAAATTTGGCCAAAATGCATTGCACCCTGCAAGAAAATTTCTTGAGCTTAATTTCTCTAAAGCTCAAAACTTATTGAAGGCAAAAAAAAAGCTGAAAATGTAATGAACATGTATTTTAACACAAAGGGTGGTATAATGTACCCTTACGTTGCTGTTCTCATGGAACAGGACCAACCTTTGTTGTTTAAACTATTTGGCAATATTATATGAGACACCTCCTCTCTGTTTGAAAGCATAGGATATAATCCTATCTATCTATCTATCTATCTATCTATCTATCTATCTATCTATCATCTATCTATCTATCTATCTATCTATCTATCTATCTATCTATCTATCATCTATCT